CGGCGGCGCGGGCAGCGCAGCTCAGGGGGGAATCCCCCCGGGACGGTGCCTCAGGAAGGAGGGCTTGAGTTGCTGAAGAGACCGGGATCGTTACTGCAGAGCTAAGGCAGCAGCGCTGCCATGCGATGCCACAGCTGCTGAAACACTGGATGAGAACCCCTGCTTGGTTTCCACTCACGCTGGTTTTGCTATGAGGTTACGGCTGTTTGACGGGCAATTTTAGGCAGAACAGAAGCATTTCTGCCCTGGTAACATTTCTGTGCCAAGTTCCAAACGGTTTTTGTTTGCTTGTTTGTTTGCTTGTTGGTTTTGTTTCGTTTCTAGTTCAACTGAATAGCTCTGCATAGGTTTATAAGAAGGTTAAGATCTAAAGTGAGAAATCATTTGTGCTGACGAACTTCATCAATAACCTGACTAATGACAATGCACTACGTACTTGATAATCTGGCCATTGAATGCTTAATTCTCAGCACCTTCACATTCTGCTTCCAATGTGGCAATACTGATCTGAGGGTACACGGTAAAAAAAGCTTAGGAGGACCCCAGATGTTGCTCAGAAGTTGGATGGTCAAGAACTCAAACACAGCCAAGGCCATTGCTTTGAGAATGCAGAGAGGAGGTGTGAGCTGTGGGTGCAGCAGGGGCACGGGAAGGGGAGCAGGGAAGTGACCAAGTGTAGCCTTCTGGCTGGCAACCAGGCTGCAATGGAACTGCAAAGCTTGAGGGCAGCCCAGCTGGCTATCTGGGTGCTTGCTGAACAGAGCAGGAGGCTGCGAGGTGTAAGAAGGGAACAAGAGTCAAAGGGTGTACTTGCTCACATTTGTGCAGGATGGGCAGATGGGGAAGGAAGGATAAATGTCCCGTGAATTATGGAACAATGCACCAGTGACTTTTAATGTAGGTAAATGCAATGAGGCTCACCCAGTGTTCTCAGCCAGGGTTGCTGATGTCCATATGTTGTCACGGACTGAAGGCTGGTTGAGCTGTTTGACAGCACAGGGTCCATGCTGGTTTTCATGGGTCAGTGCAGTGAGAATCCTCATGCAACAAGCAGCCAGTTGTGTTGGCCTCAGGATCTTTCCTTGCCCTTGCTGCAAAATGCCTGTAAAGCATGTGTCAATGCCAGCATCCTATAGCAAAATCTTCCCAGTCTGTCAGAATACAAAAGTAGCTTGAGCACTGCTAGAAGTTTATTTTTGTCATTCTTCTTCCAAGTTGTTTCTTCATCCTTTCTTCCAGTATGATACTATCCGGTGTCTTGGCCATACCTGCAAAAAACGTAATTATTTCAACATCAATGCCTTAAGATTTCTCACCAGAGAGGGTAAGAGATTCAGGACCTCAGCTTGGCTCCAGCCAGAGACAGAATGAGGAGAAATGGCTGAGGATTAAAACAAGACATACATACAATGTGCTTAAACAGTTGTGCTGAAGCATGAAAACTCAAGCAGACAGATGTAAACTTAATTGCTTATACACATTAAACAAAGAGGAAATGGCCAAACACTTTAACTCAGCGGATTGAGGTGAGCACAGACTGGCTGGGCAGCAAACAGTGTGAGAAAGAATAATTCACAGCCTACAGACAGTTGCACATAATTAACTTGCAAGATGAAAATGCTGTTGATTTTTAGTCAAGCAAAACCATTACTGTGCCACATACATAGTGTGATTATGTGGTGCATAGCACCATGTGTATGTAGATGGTTATTATTGCAGTCTTGGTAAGAAGGATGTAAACCATTTATGTACATAAGCTTCTGTCTTCAGAAAAAAAAAGAGGTTGGTACTTTTCTTCCCTCATCCTCCTCTTGATAAGATGGTACTTGATTAGTTCTCAAAGTATCTGAGGAAACACAGTAAGAGGAACTCTAGATTTGATTGATTTTTACTGCTTACCTTCAATGCTCTGTTAAGTGTGTAATAATTCACATGTACCCAGTTTTAGTTTATCTTGATTTCCAATGCACCTGTGTAAAAAAAAGAAAGGAAAGGTGATTGACAGTTTCAGCAGCAAGCATTTTAAAATGGGGAAAAATGGGGGAAATAGCATAGGAAATACCCAAGAAGACAAAAAAAAAGATACAGAAGAAAAGCCCAAATGTTTGGCTAAAAATGAATTAATAGACTCGTATGGGGGAAAAAAAGCAGGCTATGTTTGACAACTATCTTCAAGCAAGGGAGACAACAGTCAAAACTGACCTTACCCTTATGTTTGAGCCATGATGATGGAGAAGAGATGAAGGTGTTACCCACTGTAACAGAGGGGGGGAAAAAAAATGAAGAGCATGATTGCAGAACAATAAAATCCATTTTGGTCAAGCCAAATGCAAAAAAAAAGTGGTGAATCAGCCAAGATTAAAGACCTGAGCACCTCTAAAGGATGCCTGATTAAATGGAGGAAAAAAAAGACCAGCTTGGATAAATATGACTGAAAATTGTCAGAAGAAAGTGATAAATAAACCCCTGTGAACAGATGAAATAGCTTAAGAATGCAGGTTTAGGGATGCAAGACTCCAGTGGCTATCCAAGGGCAGGATTCCTTGCCAGTTTCTGACTGTTCTTTTTTTTTATTTATTTCATTCTTTCTGAAGTGTGGGGGGAGCTTTTGTACTGAATTGCTTCTTTGGGAAGGTTTTACTCATCTTAATTATAGATGATCAAATGAGTAAACTCATAGGATGAGTAAAGGGTTTTGTTGTTCTTTTTTTTATTTCAACTATAAAAATTACAGCTGAGTAAAGAAACCCATTAAAGCCCACATCTTTATTAAATTCTAGAACATTCTAGTAATCAAGATTTACAATTACTTTGCCTTGTAAATTCTGTAAGGGGAAGCTGAAGACAATCAAGTAACAGGAAATGACTGTGTTCTTGTCTTCTCCAGAAAAGCAGCAAGCAGTTCCTTGATGGGGAGTGTCTACATACACGTGTGTACATACACATACCTATACATATACATAGCTTTGACTTTTGAAGAAAGATACTGACAGATGTGGCCATTCTTTTAGTAACAATATTAAGATCCTGATGATAACTCTATTGCAGTCTTGGGAGAAACAAACAAACAAACGAACAAACAAACAAACAAACTTGTATTCAGCTAGTTTGAAACAGGCTTTGGCTTTCTTGTTCCTTATCATTGACGTTTTTGCTGTACTTCTAGAAAACAAGGCAAACCTTCATAAGGCTAAAGTGCTTCCCATTCCTGAAATTATGTCCCTTGTCCATTGAAGTCATGCTGTTATTTATAAAAGGTCATACATGAAAACAACCTCTTTATAGCCAGAAATGTAAAGGTTTTACTCCTTTTCTTTGAGGGTGGGTCAGGGAAAAGAAACAGATCTGTGTAGAGTTGTGTAAAATAGGCATGCTTCTTATTGAAGGACTTGTCATGAGCTTTTTGACAAGTTTAGAGTAGTGAGCTGATGTTATCTATTAAACTCACACAGCTCCTTTCAACACATCCATATTACCAGAGTATATGGTCAATTTCTAAGTTACAATTATCTCCTTAGCTAAGTCTAGAGTGATGTTGGTGCTTTATAGAATTGCTAAAACAGAAAAGCACATCTAATATTTGCCCTTGTGAATGGTGATCAGTTGCTGAAAAAAACCCATTCTCTTAATCACTGTCCTGCTCTGCCTAAACATTTTATGCTTGTTAGGCAGACTCAGAAAACTATGATGTTGACATGAAGACTGTAACTTCAGAAACAATTTTGGCATATTTCATTTTTTGGCACTTTCACATTATACTTAGGTCAATTTTATGCATAAATTTAGAAATGTATCTGTTTCTTGATAGTGCCATATCACTATTGATTTCCAGAAACTCTGCTGCAAGCAGATTAGCAAATATTATGTTGTAATAGTATTTGCTTTCATGTACTACTTACCAACAGTGAAAGGAGAGGGAACTTTTTCGGTCCTTGATTTAGGTTAATGTGCAGGCTAAATAATTGCCCTTGCACAAGTTAATTTTGTCAGGAGTCAGAGTTAAACAGCCAGCTGAGAAACAATTGCACCCAGTCCTCCTCACACAGAGGAAAGTATTGGAAACACGAGGGTTGTGTAACTAGTATTTGACAATGATTCAGAGCAACTGAATCATCCTGGAAAGGATGGGAAAAATACTGTCACACTGTGACTTAGTTAGACCTCAGTACCATCAAGACAAAGAATGAAATGATGTAAGATCTTCCACCCTTGCTGTATCGTGTAAAGAACAAGCATGGGATGAACTTGAAGACTAGGATATAATTTCTCATTGGATTTTTGCTGACATGCTCTGACGACATATTAGAAGCACAGCATTTGCACTTGCAGTCAAATCAAAGTTTTACAACCATACTATTGCTTAACAAGGTTAGTTTTCAGTTAGGAGGTTGTTTTCCAAATAAAGAGTTTGTTCAGCTCATTTCTTACCTGCAGAATGTTTAAAATGGAAGTGGAAATAGGTGGTTATTTTGAAATAATTCCAGAGTCAGGTTTTCCTCCCTGGTACATGCCCTTTGTGCTGCCCTGGTCATGCTGCAAATCTGACCCTGGCTATATTTGTTGTGCTGAGAGGTCCCCTGGAGGGATTCCCCTGGTCAGCCTACTGGAGGTGCAGCCCAGGACAGGGCTGGGTCTGGCTGGTGCAGGGCTGAGCTTTGCCAGGTGTCAGAGGGTGGAAGGTACTGCCAGGTAGCATGAGACAGGGCTGGAGCTTCTGTGATCCTGCTCAGAGGCTAAGCTGTGGTAATGCAGGGCAGAAGATGACTGGGCCATAGCCAAGCAAACCTCAGTACAGGACAGTGTGACCCAGTTTGTGTTAAAAGGTTATTCCATGCTGGATTTTGATCATACACAGGGAAGCTGCTGCAAAACCTACCGAGCAAAAAAAACTCAGTAAGAATGTCTCAAGGAGATTAAAGCAATGCAACACTGATGTTCTGTTTAAAATATCTTCCATATGTCAGTCTGGAAGTTTTCCAACAGTGTTTTGGAAGAACTTAACTTGCTTCTAGACTAATTCACAGATTTCCCAGTAATTAGTTCAACAGCAGTTCCACTTCCTCAAAAACAGTCACTGAAGGATTCTAAATCTACATTTGATGTCCACTAGAAAGGAAACACCCTAGTGCTGGTAGCTGTACCAGTGTTCTGATTCTCCAGAAAGTACCGTATTTTTATTTTAAAATGCTCTTTTTTTTTGCCAAAATTCAAACCAAACTGCAAGACGGATGTGTAAACTATCAGCATGTTGTCCTGAACACAGCAGACTCCCAGACCTAGATCTTAAGAGTGTGAGGATTGCCTTTCAGGCCTTAAACATGATACTCCTGTTCATATACAGCTTTCTTGTACAACAGCACAATGGTGCTAACCCTGGCTCAGCTGTCATCATTTTCTGCAGATTGCGATGAGAGATCAGCAAGATGCTTTCACAGGAGCTCCACAGTGCTCAGTTGCTCCTGCATGGCTTGCTGAGCCTCCTTAGGTGGCAGTGTTTTCTGTTTGTGGAGACAGGATCCTGAATTAGATAGACCAGGCACCCACCAGAAACACAGATAAGCGACTCGCAGTTTCTCTTCGTAAAAAAAAAAACAACAACAAACAAACCAAAACCAAAACAACAACGTGATTTTTTCAGCTGGTTTTATCATGGAACGTCTTTATCTGTGAAGGGTGCTATGAAGAACAGGATTAGAGAGAGCAGAGACCTGAATCACCCTCACTTCTGTGAGGAACTTCCTGTGACTGTGGATGCCGTGATCCTCCCTGCTTACCCTTCCCTTTTTGTAGGGTCCTCTCTTGTCAGCTATGAACCGTTCTTGGGAACGAAAATTGTCTGTACAGCTCAGTCTTGTCTATCTTAAGGAATGACATGTTATTATTGGACAAAAAAATCTCAACATAATATATACATGTGATATTTTTGTTTAACAGCAGGACAGCTGGGAACGTCTAAGAACCTCACTGCAGTCTCTACGGCTTGTTGACATAATGGCAATATTTACA